CGCCAGCCCAGGGGAGCTGCTGGCAGTGTCTGCGCGGTGGCCGGTGCCTGTGCCCAGTGCCAGGCAGGGACCGGAGCTGCAGCCGTCCCCTTCCAGGGCAGCAGCGGAGCCTCTCCTCAGCCACGGGCTGCCAGGATGGGCAGCACAATCGTGTACGCTACATTGCCACTGAAAGGCTGGCTAGAAGGTATGTCTCAAAAGAAATACTTTCAGAATATTAAGGAATTAGGAAATATGTAAGAAATATGTTTCTTTTAAAAAAACATTTTTCATGGGAATCTTTATAGTTCAACCTACATTGGTTTAACCGATTTCTACCATGTAACCTTTAGTGAGCAAGGAAACCTTCATCTTACACTAATAGATAAGCTATGTCATACGACCGCAGAGCGAGATGTGACTGTTTCCACTGTAAAAATCGCTGTAGAAGGTCATCTGCTTCCCCTGCCGTCGATATTTTATTCTCCTCTGTCCACAGCTCCACGGAGGACAGCACAATGGTAACATTAACAGGATTAAACATCTGAAAGCGTAACAGAGGAAACGCCTGCTCACATACCTTTCCTCTGAGCAGAACTACAGCTCGATACATAAATCAGGTAGGAAAAGCCAATTGCTATTGTCAGTCACTGAATGACATCTGTATGACAAACAGAATGAACAAACCTAAAAAAATAAAAAGATATACCAAGAGGCATGAGAACAAAGCCTAATAACTTCATAGGAAAGTTTTAGGGTTTTTTTGTGAATAACTTCTCATTATACACATGAATCATAACAGCACCTGTAGAGTGAAGAACAGGATTAGGAGTTGCTTATAAGCACCTGAGTGGAAACAGATTAATTGTATGGCTGGTCATCGAGACGAGATCTGCAGCACAGAGAGGGGAACAATCTAGGAAGCCTCAAAACGTTGGACTTTGGCTGCCTTAAGGCAAACTGCCTGCATTTTTGTACATCTGCATGAGACATTGCCACCACATATGGAAGGACGTTAGTTTGTAGCAGATTGACGTGTCTAGAGAAAAGCTCCTTGGGAAACACTTTACAGGCTACAAATGCCAGACAGCTTACTCCACGCTCCTGGTGCAGTTGCGCTGTGAAATGGAAACGGGGGGGCAGTGGCCAGGTCCCGCAAATTCCTACTCCATTCTGCTAAACAGAACTTTCCTCGATACCCACTTGTCGCAGTTCAAGACTCGCCCCAAGCAGCTAACCCTAACTCTAGCACGGACCATGCCGCTAGTGCCGTTACAGCTTTAAGAGAGCATATTTTCACAGTTGCTAAGCCAAACCCTTTTATTAGCTCACCGGGACTAAACCCCTCGCGCACCTCTGATCAAGTCTGGACCAGGCTGCCGAGAAGCTAGGAGCTCCTGCCAGGCCATGCCCAGCCATCACAGCCAGAACATCGCGAGACAAGACCTGGAATTTTTTACATAAGCTCCTCCTAAAACCAAAAGCAGCTGGGAAATAGGTCGCCATTACTAACATCAAACCCCTCCATCATCTTACTACAATACAAACCAGACTTTAAAACTTACATTGTTGACTAAATTGAAGACCTGGATTATCTTCTGCGTTGCAGCATTTGTGTCTGAACCCATATAGTCGTACTGAAAAATAACCCAAGAGGACATAAGAGCAGACAAGGCATTTACCACAATGAAGCAGAACAATGTTGAAACGCTGACATGTTGCCAACATCCAATCATGTAAGCGTGCGCTACGAATTTTCATTCTTTCTTTCCTACAAAATCCACAGTACACGTAACTTTTCAAAAGGGAAAACAAATACATATAAAAGCTGGGAAATGGCACCATTTCTATGCTCATAAGGAGTCAAGCAAACACAAGGAGTAAACGACTGGCACGGACTTACCAAAGCCTTGTCCAAAACTACGTACACTTTAAAGTATTTGGGAGACCGTGCTGCAGCTGGTAGTGGCTGAAAAAGAAAATGGTCTCCAGTGCTATATATATTTCTACATTCTATAGTCACCTTATTCCTGAGGTTTGCTACACTACTCAAGTGTCCGTTCAAAAGCAATGCTTCGATGCTGTCTTCAAATTAGCATAAGGTAAGAAGCCATTCCAACTTAGCCATTTCTGACTTTTTTCAGAAGCCTTTCTACCTTGGTGATGCCTCTCATTAGGCACTAGATGAGTAACGATCCACACGACACCCTGTCACAAGCACTGGCACTCATAAACCCACCCCCCCATCTCTGTCCGTCCAGACAACACCGGACAAAGCTTCCTGCGCGATCAGACCCCTCCTCGAGTGATGGGGACATCAGCACCACCGCGAGAACAGGCACAACACTCACTTCAAGGTACATGAACGTCAAGATCATCTCCTCTGCCGTCAGCCCGCCTGGCCCTCTCTCGGGGTGGCTGTTGGCAAAGAGGGAACCTGCCGTCTTCTCGTCACTCACTCGATACACAAAGTGCTCGAACGCAGGAGAGTAACCCAGGGGCTCAATCCCGTAGCTGACGTTCTCAAACTGCAGCAAGCCCCTGCCATGGTGACGGTGCGTCATTTCTCACTGGCCATTTGCCACCGGGCGCTGGCAGCCACATCGGGGAGGCTGCCCCAGCCGCCTTCGAGTGAGGCTGCCGGGGCATCCCTGGGCTCCCCCACGGCAAAGGCCCGGCAGCGCCTGTGAGCACTAACGGGCACGGCGGCGCGGGGAGGTGGCGGTTCGTTACCTGAGCCCCGAGCAGGTGCTGAGGGTCACTGCCGAGCTGGGAAAGCCATCGATGTACCCCCGGTAGTAGCAGCCTCCCTACATCATGACAGAGGACATGGAGCCCCTTCTGTGACCATGAAGACAACTCCACAGAGTTGCACAACAAGGATTTTGTGGACAATCTCTCCTTGGCCCAAGTAATTAGAAACAAATCCTAGTGTGAGGATGTGGCATCCTCATGATAAGGAACTGCCCTGCCTTGTGCTGAGCTGCACTGCTGGGGAGCGGTGGCTCTTCTCCTGGTCCCTCTGTAAGGAACGGTAGCCACGGTCAGGATTACAAGCTTTGAACCAAGCAAACTCAGTGACTCCAAAAACCTTCACAAACATCAATCTGACCACACATTTGCAAGGAAAACTTTTTGTTTCACCCCAGAACCTCCTGCCGTGATTAGGAAGCAAAAATGTGGAGAGAGAGAGAGGGGAAGAACTGCTCCCCCGCAGTAACTAGTGACATCCCCCAAAATACCGAACAGTGCGGCTACCCTGGAACAAAGCAGCAACACAAACACCAAGCAGGTCACCAATTACCTTGACATGGGGCAAGTCAGAGCGCAAGGATCCCTTCTCATTGTACGTGTAAATCCTGAAATCATCAGATAAAAAGAATCTAGAACAGAAAACCAATAAAATCCTCTGAAAATGCTCTGAAATGGTCTTACCCAGAGTTTCTTGAGCTTATTCCAGGTCCTGCAGCCTGCGCTGTTGCACTGGCAGATCCAAAACCCGCTGGCATCAGGGCTCATGGGCATCCCTCAAACCCTCCTCCAGCCCTCTGCCGCCCCTCGGCACTCGGGCACGTGGCACACACGCACACGTCCCCTGCGGGCTTTGGGATTGCCTGCAGCAGGGCACGATCCCGGCAGCTGCAGGGGCTGGAAACAGCCCGAGGGAGCAGCGCCAGCGTGAACGCCCACAGGCGGGAATCGCCCCGCAGCCCGGCACCATCCCGTGCCGGGGACAGAGCACACAGCCCAGCAGCCGCCGGGGAACAGGACAGCAGCGGTCAGACGAGGCAACGCCAGGGCCAACTTACTGCTGCTGCAGGTGAACGGTGTACGGCCTCCCCTCTATCGTCAGGACGTAGGACACTGCGTCCTTGCGCGTGCAGAAAAGCAGAGAAAGCGAGAATTAGGAACGCCGACTTCGGAAAAGCATGCTCCGAGGGCAACTACAACACCGAGGGCAAGCACAAGAGCTCAGCAGAACGTCGTCCCCCCTGTCAGCTGCACAGGCAGAATGTGGTTTCCTAAAACTGTCCCTCTACCAGTCACACCTCGGCTGTTGCACATCACATTCCTGTGCGTGTACATCCACTCACACACACACACAAACACAAAATAACTTAAGTACCATCTCTCCAGCTGTTTTTGAGAGCAACCTCTGGGGAACTGTGATGTGCAGCAGCATTTGCGAACCTAGAGAAAGAATTTGTTTCTTAGTTATAGTCACAGATTATTATCACCACAGTTGTGCCCGTCAGCCACAGTCAGAATTGCATACGCCTGTGAAAGACACCTTTATAGCCACATGGACAGACGTGATCTCTACCTGCAGAGGTTCACCAACTCTACTTCCTACCCGGCTATCATTCATCCACACTTTATTTTAAAGTATCTAGACACTTGCACAGAAAAAACAAAATTATGTGCACTTACTACTGCTGGATCAGAGCCCAGGAATATGAACACTGTATGATGGGAGCACGAGAGCAAGCTCCAGCTGAGCAAACCCACCTTGCATCAGGAACCAAAAGTGGGCAAACGCCCACTTTGGAAGGAGCCACACCACCTGCTCCGTCCCTGCGAGCATCACTGTCCCCACGGTACAGTTGCCAACGTCACACAGCTTCACACACTTCGCAGATTGACAAAACCCAACCACCACAATGTGCCCACGGAGAAGGGTGCTAGCAACGGCTGCAGCCCCTCAGCCCCCGAGAGCAGGATTTAACACTTGTCAAAAAGCACCAACTAAGCAATCATAAAACCCTTCCACGGGACTCCTCCTGCTGGATGGGGTGCCATGCTGGGAGGACAAAATCACCCCCGCATATCCCTGCCAAGCAGCCAGGAAGAACCGCCCCGCCCTGCCCCAACAGCAGCCTTGGGACAGACGGGCTCCCACACCGGGAAACCTCGCCCCGGGCCCCGGCGGCCCTTCCCTGGAGTC